ATTATTTCTTTTTTCATTGTTGTTCAAAACATTACATAGCTCTTGACATATCATATTTCATACATTTGATTCAAGTGGATTATGAACTCCCATTTTTACCCCATATATCTAAAATTTTAAGGGAGGTGAACCTATCACTTTCTAGAGAAAACTTTCAATTTTGAATACTTATTACTAAAGGAAAACTACTTAAAACCATAGCCAGATGTTCCAGAAAGGTTTCTTGCTACCTGAGACAGTGTGAATGGAATCAGTTCTGTGGCACAGCAACACTGTTTTCTGTCTCTTTCAACTCTAAAGTCTTAAAAGGCATATCATAACTTACTGAATATTTACAGATGATTTTAATTAGTATTTCAAATACTATTTAGAGAATCTATTATTGGAAAAAAATCAATATATGAAGTTTAAAACATTGTATCAAAAACATAATTGTGCAGTAAAGATTTCCTGCCTCTGCACCTTGTCTCTGTGTCCCCCTTTTCTTATTTTCCTTACAAAGATTAGATTTCCTGTTTACAGAATGAACACACTTGTATCATAACACTTAATTTAATGAAGTGTCTTTTGTAAAGTATTGTCAACCAGTATGTCAACCACTTGTAGAGATGGTAAATATTAATGTGTCTTAACTGTATTTTCAAAGAGCCTGACACTTCCTTAAGCAACCCATAGTCATGAGAAATCCTTCCATTGTGAATTTCAAAGCTCTAAGAAGTACTCCAAGGGGCTAGGTCTACACTCATGCCAGCAATTCTCCAATATGACCCAGGCAATGGCCCCACCACCTTTCCTTGCTTTGGTATTATGGTTTTCTAAATGTTTTACAGGAAGAGATTAAGCGTTTGGAAGAATCAGTTAATTTTCAAAAAGACTGCTGTCTGTGTCTGCACCCATGTTCTTGCATATTGAGCCAGTTATAAGGATTTTGAAGTTTAAAAACTCAAGACAGTTTCAATAGTAAAATATTTGCACTTTGATATTGAGCAAAATTTCCCAGTTAGCATGGTCTTTGAAATACAAATGTGATTTACATTTACTTTTCAAAGATTTTAATCCTTTTTTGGTATATGTCCCCAGACACTGCGCTCATAAACCCATTCTATTTATTTAGCTTTAGTTTCCCCCTTGTCCTGAGTCTTAGACTTGGTGAGAGACAAGGAAGGATATCAGAGTAAACCCTTGTATCCCAGCCCTGATAGAAGGTGCAGCTTTTCCCTCTGTACCACTATGTTTATGAATGCTTATAAGAAATTCTGCCATTAGAAGTGCTATTTTTCTGTTTGTTTTTAACGTTCCTCTCATATATAAGTGGGGTGAATAGGTGAATAACATTGATTTGTTTCAAAGAAAGGTTTTATGTAAATGCTGCCTGGTAGAAATGCATTTCCATTTCCTGCATTGATCTCATCTTAAACCCTTGCAGTTCATCCAATTTTTTATGTATTGCTGTTTTAACAGAAATTTCATGTTACAAAATGAAAGTGACTGACCAGAGATTTTGAAATGATGCTTAAAAGCCTCTTATCTATCATCTTCAGAGTTTTAGGATGTCATTAAAAAAACAACAGAAAATAATATAAAGAACAAACAGTTGTGCACTTTAGCTGATGTAATTATTCAAATAGCTTCTCAGTGTGTGCGTGCATGTATGTGTGTCCCTGTGTGTGAGTGTGTATGTGTGTGTGTGTGCACGCATGCACTTGTGTGAGTTTCTTTCCTCTTAGGACATTTATTTGGGGAAGATAAATTAGAATGAGAGGAATCCATAAGGCCTGCATCTTACTTTTTATCATTAAGAGTACAGGATTTTCTTACTGAGGTAGAGCAGTTGAATCTGTCATTAAATAGCTAGAACTCTCTATACCCAAACTCTGTCTAATTAACCAGACCTAAGAACCTTGTCCTCTCTTAAGGCATCCTGGTGGAGTCTCCTGAAAGCTAGTTTGTGGTATCTCCCTAGAGATTTCCATCAACCAATCAATGGCAAAGAGGTCAGTGTCTTGCATTTGTATTACAATAGCTTCGGCATACACTAACACTTGAGGTAATGGTGCCCTAGAATGGTTCTTCCTGAACTTAATCATGATTAAAAGTTTATTTTTTTCCCTAAAATAACTAATCCTGCCTTTTTAAAGACAATAAAAACTTAATCTCTACATTTGCTTTCAATCCTATTGTAGTTTATTAAATGCATTTTCAGTTGATCAGAAAAATCTTTCTCTCTACTTTGTTCTTAGATTTATTAAAAATAAAAAAAAGTACATGACCAGAATGCCTTATAATTACATCACGGCTATTTCCTATATAATGCTGTGGTTTCTCTTTTATGCTTCTGATATTTTCAATCTAAAATAGAGGATTTAAGAGGAGAGAAAATGGATAAAGACCAATATCTCAACCTTGGTTCCTACTTCAGTCCATCATTATCATTTATTTTTCACAGGTGTAATTTCCATTATCAAAAAATAGGTACTCAATCTAAACTTCATTTCCACTTCTGGCAAAGAAGTTAATTTATGTCCTATTGTTCTTCATATTCCACATGAAATTCATATTTCGAAATGGAGGATCCTCCAAGCTGACACGAAATTCTCCATCTCTGTCTCTGTCTTCTAGTGACACATGCATACATTTTTATTTCTTTGACTTCATCTTTAAAAAGGCAGCATGAACTCTGGAGCCAGACTGCCTACATCAGAATCCCAGCTTCAGCATGTAAGAGCTGTATGACCTTAGACGAGTGACATAATCCCTCTTTAACTCAACTTTCTCATCTTTCCAATGAGAACAATAATACCTGCCTCATAGGATTATTGAATTAAATGAGGTTTTATATATATAATCCTTAAAATATAGCTACTAATAAGTTCTTTGTAAATATTTGCCATAATAATATTTATCATCATCATCATCTCCAACATCGTGACAAATTGGGGTCAATGTTATTTATTTACTTTTACTTTGCTTTAATGCATTGTAAATTCTGCAATTAATGCTTTTGTAGTGGAATGTAGTGACACTTGTAAGCGGCCCTAATTGTTTTCTGGAGCATCCAAAGCAATTTTTTTAAAAAAATGAAAAACAAAGAGTAAAACAATCTTCTCATGCTAGAACGTATTCCTTTGCTCAGGAAATATTTCTTGAACCTCTACTGTGAGCCAGGCACAGTGTGAGGCTCTTGGTAATACAGTGAGAAACAAAATAGTCATATACCCTAAACTCAATACCCTAAACACTCAATGTTGGGGTGGGAGACAATTGATAATCAAATAAGCCTCAAATGAATATGTAGCCATTTTGTTAATTCTATAAAGGAAAATGACAAGATGCAATGAGGGACATATGACCTACTTTAGATTGAATGATCAAAATGTCTTCTGGAGATAACATTTACGGTTAAGTAAAATAATCAACATCAGGAACAAATAAAATACCTGCACATTATGAGTGCTCAGGAAAAGTAAGATTGAGTTTGAGGCTCACAGTATTTATTTATTTATTCATCAATTTATTTTGGTGCTTGGGCTCAAACTCAAGACATCACACATGCTATACAAGCATATGCTGCAATACCACTGGGGTACACCCCCAGTCCCTTACATCTTTGTAGGACACAAAGAAGAGCCTGGTAGTACCTCTGCTTTATTCTGTATTTTGTGCTATGATGGGAACACATTCCTTTCCTGACCCAGAAAAAAAGTGCCTTATTTGTTGTGAGCACTGAATAAGAGCGACTGGAGTTTAGAGTTGGGATATTGCTCTGTTGATTTACAATGAACATAGTTTGGGAAGAAGTAGGGAGAAACATCACTCTACATGCCGATGTTTTAGGACTAACGCTACTCTTCTCCCTAGACACCATCAAACCACTACATCTTTCATTCATCCAGCAGCTAATTTTTGGAGTTCCTTGTTTATACCAGCGACAATGGAAAGTCCCCATAAAGTTTTCTCTGAAAAAAAAAATGTTCTGCAGCTCTATGGAAGGCAAATTGTTTCTTAAATCCTTTAAAGATGCACTTTTAAAAACTGAAAAAGAATTATCTGGAGAAAGTGTTTTCACCTTTAATCGGTGAGGGAATATACAAAAGGATTAAAAAATCAATTATTTTCATTTATTTTGGTTGGATGAAAGGTGATGCAAGGAGAAAACACAAAGACTCCCAATAATTTATCATTTTCCAGGGATGGTGATAAAATGCCCTGTGAGGGAAGAACTCTCTAGAAACCAATAATCATTTAAAAATACTAGACAAACTTCTCCAAGGACTCCTTTGAGGGGCTAGACTACAATTAAGAGTGTTCAATAAATGGATGTGTATTAAACATTTATCTCAAACAAGATTCATTTTTCCAGAAATGTTTCAGAGCACCCTGGGAACCTACTGTTGGCTCTGTACATCTCTTATACTATCATGGCTCTTTAGCCAGGATTCTCAGGTCATAAGGAGAAGGACCTCCCCAAGAGGTTCAGGCTCACTTCCAAAAGGATGGCTGGTTCTAGCTATAAGGGGGACACACATGAACTTGAACATGGCCAAAACTCCTAACCAAAGCTGTGATTGTATTTCGTTTTTAATCTATACCAAAACCGAGATAGGCAACATATTTTTTACAAGTGAGTAAATGCTTTCAAATGTTTGTCTCAATGGGTTGTAGTACTAGTTTGTGGCTAAGAAAATAGGCACTAGCATTAAATCATTGCATTTAGACCATGGTGCTACCAGACACCCAGCTCTGTGACCTGGGAAAAGCACCCTTTGCATTATGGGAATAATAATGTCTACCCAGCTATGTCTCCTAAGGAATCCAGTGAGCTATGGACATGTAAAGCACATCACTGTTAGCTCACTGTAAGTTGCCAATATAATATAGAAACAATGTGTGTTTAAGAGCAATTAGATACGGACTTCGCATTTATGAAAAAGTACAGGAGACTTACTACTTTAAATGCCGAGCTAAGATACTCAATATATTATGACTCAATTTGATCTTACCTTTACATCTAATCTTCTCTATGCTCCAAGTGGGTGTTGGGTCTCTGTTGATAGAAAGCTCACTTTGGCTTCCTAAGTGTGAATATCTTTCCATGTTCCTAGTCCTCCTTTGGTAGGAGCTATTGTTCATAAAGATACAATAGAGAAAAAAAGAAAAAAAAAAAAATGAAAATTAAAACAAAACAAAAAAGCCAAAAAACAATCCAAAAGCCTGGAAAAAAATAACTCCTGGCCCAAAAAAAAAAAAATCAACTCATTTTCTGTAATTTCTGTCATCAAACTGTCATGACTCTTTAGCCAGGATTCTCAGGTCATAAAGAGATGGATCTCCACAAGAGGTTCAGGCTCACTTCCCAATGGATGGCTAGTTCTAGCTAAAAGGGGGACAACTTATTTTCTGTCATTTCTGAATTTCACATGATGTGAAATGTTTTCCTAAAACAACTGATAAGTAGTCAGGGCAGGATTTTCTACCAGCTGAAAACTAACACCAGAATCAAAGCCTGGTGAAACAAAACAGGAAAGATGGAGCAAGAATACATTTCATTTTTCTACTTGATCATTTATTCTTTTTTTGTTTTGATCATTTACTCTTAATTAAATTATCACTTATCCTTCACTGACTTCTAGATTTAACAAAAATATATTTGAGTTTACTTGGTCCCTGATAGAATAGAACATATGGGCAAAGTGGAAGAAAAGTATAACAATGAAGACAAATGGTCAATGAGAAAGGGTACTAAATTTTCATCAGCATAGGGAGATGACATGTACGTTGAGACCCGAAATGAACTGTGACTGAGCTTCCTGGAAGACAAAGCAAAATGAAAAACCTAGTAAGTTACATAATTCAGCCCAGAATACTAACTTTTAGGTATGGTCAAGAATGTTATTACGTTTTGTTTTTGTTTTTGTGTCTTTTCCCCCACTGAAAATCTGAATGATTCTTGGCTGGCAACTCATGTTTAATATTTATTAAATGAAACGTTTACATTCATGAATAAATACTAAAAAAATTCACATTTTCTGTTTCTAAGATAGTAGTTATATATAATATTTATTTCTCCCAACTATTTATCTATCTATCTATCAGTCTATTTAATTTTTTAAATACATGACAGCAGAATGCATTACAATTCTTATTATACATATATACCACAATTTTTCATATCTCTGTTTGTATATAAAGTAGGTTGACACCCAATTCGTGACTTTACACATGTACTTTGGATAAAGATGGCCATCACATTCCACCAGCCTTGCTAATCCCCTGCCTTCTCCCTTTCCCTCTCTCCCCTCTTCCCTATCTAGAATTCATCTAATCCTCTGCCTCCTCCTTCTCCCTCCATCCCCTCTTCCCTTTCTAGAATTCATCTATTCCTCCCATTTACAATGGATGGCATTTAAGAAAGTAATTGTATATAGCATTCATTTCTCCTAACTTTACCTTCTCCCCTTTAAAATGGATCAAGATATCTTTCTTAGGAAATATTTTATTTTTTTTGAGGAGTACAATAAAAATAATTTTGACTCATTACAAATGCTGTCAACCCCAACTCTCCTTAGCCAGTTCTATCTTTAAGCTGCTAATCAAAGGAGAATCATGAGTTCATTGCATTCTATGAAGCTTAGTTTTGCTAATGTGGCTTGCATGCTATTTCAAAGATGCATGAGCATTTTTGTGCTTTCTGTTTTTTTTCTTTTTTAATATAAGTATTTTTTTAGTTGTAGTTGACACAATACCTTTATTTTATTTATTTGTTTTATGTGGTGCTGAGGATTGAACGCAGGGCCTTGCCCATGCTAGGCGACCGTTCTACAGCTGAGCCACAATCCCAGCCCCCAGCATTTTTGTCCTTTGTAGTGACACTTTATTCCACTGACCCCTTAGATTTTACCTATGGCCTGCTCCAACTTAGTAAGGCCTTCGGCTATATATTAACCCTTTTTATGAAGGAGAAGGATAAAACAACATAAATCATGGACATCAATGGACTTTGAATCAATCCAGGCAAATAATGGGCCCAGCATGCATTGCTTGTCCCCAAAGTGATTCTTGGACTAACTTGAATCCTCTTGTTTAGGAGCTTCATCAAGTGAAGGTTCACATGGCCATGTGTGTGAGAAACAGCTCTCCACAACTGGTAATGAGCAAGGAACACTGCAAAACTATTTGCTCAAAGGAATGGAAGAAAAGGAACTATTAAGTTAATTTTGTTTCTCACAGGGCTGCCTTTAAAAAGCATGCATATTATGGTAGGGCAATTCTGTGCCTCCCATTCTCAACTCATGAATACTATTTATGTGAGGCTGCGGGGTTGTTTGTTGGCATGGGCATTCTTTAATTTTGTTATTACTGGACCCCATCAGATTCCCCAGGCTACAGTGTGTTATTGTAGGGAATATGTTTCTACTTCTTTCTTCCATCACTATAGCCATTATTTAATAAGAATTAGAAAAAGGACAGAAGAAGGGGTGAACAAAATAGAACTGTTGGTACTTTTCTCTGACTTTTGCTATGATTGTTAGCAATTCAGGATGTTCTCGGAGAGAACAAAAAAGCCCAGATGAGTGTGTGTGCACTCATACAGAAAGTGGTGGACCATATCCTTTTAGAATTCACACTCATTGTCAGATACCAGAGACACGTGGCATCTCCAGAAATCTCAATTGTGAGTATTTATTTTAAAACAAAACTTTAAATCTTTCTGGTTAACTACAGCATGACAGGCAGGATAAAATGGTGCATTTTTTTTTCTCTTATCATATAATTGTCATTTAATAACTGCATCTGTGGTTGATTGGCCTACGAATGTATTCCCACTTCCCAGAACAAGCTTATCAACTCTGTGAGGTCAAGAACCTTCTCAGTTTTCTTCATTATTTTATCTGTAATCTAAAACTATATACTGCATTTATTATGCTCGGCAAATATTTGCAGAATCAATTGATTGTCAAATAGTGTTGGAATTAGATTTGAATCCATGATAAATTAGTAAGAAGTTCTATGATCTTGGGTACATGTCTTAAGATCTCTGGGACTTATCTTTCTCCTGTGTAAAGTGGGGAGGAGGGAAGAAGAGGAAAAAAACCAAAAAAGGAAAAAAGAAAGTTCAATCAAAATCCAACAATTTGGGCAACAATAAACGGAAAAAAAAACACAGTGAACTGATGCATTACTTCATGGACCAATTCAGTAGGAAAAAAAAATAGAATTTTATAGAAAAGAATTAGATTGCATTTAGCACAATAGAAACACAGTTTCCAGGCTAGTAGATTCCGAGGGGTGGGAAGTGTATGTGATCAGATAGATTGTCACAAAATTCTGTATGATAAAAGAGTGAAAGATAAACAACATGCTCTACAAAGCTTAGGAAGTATCCACATTTGAGTGATCTGTAAGTTAAATATGAGCTTCCCAACCTAAGAAGGAAAAAAAGATTGGAGATGTTTTCATTAGAATAGAAAATGAAATTATGAAAGGGCATCTGATGTTGGATTGAGCAAGACTAAAGCACAGAGTGTTGGTGTTGGGAGACGCTTTGAGATGAAACTAGAGACAGAAGTTGGGTCAGATATGATGAAGTGTGCATGTTAAATGAAAGTGTTTAGATTTCATGGTATAATCATCTAATATGCAGCTATCATTTTACTACAATAAAATGGAATCTAAGTGACTTGATTGAGGGCCCTGCAGCTCCTAAATGTACAAAAGACAACTGAACAAAAATCTTTGGACACCAAAGTAAATGATTTTACTGAACTGTGTTTCAACACTGTCCAGGTTGGTGTGTTGCCTAGAGGAGAATCTAAAGAAAGTCTAAGTGCCAGGTTAAATAGTACATGCTGGTCAAATATTTAACCAGACCTGAGGCATAATTTTTGCTTCTAAAAAGAGAGATACAGAACAGGAAACACATAGTTGGGAGAAGATTTGCAAAAAAAAAAAATAGATGAAGATTTGTAACAATGATGAAAAAAAATTTTCAATGTCACTTGGTTATTTGGTCAGAAAGGTGTATAACTCTTATATTTTTATATGTCATGTTATTATAACTATATGATATGAATATATAAAGAGTATTTAGCTTCTATTTTTAGGTGTAGGTATGTGGAAATATACAGAGAAAAAGAAAGAGCAAGAGAGAGACAGAGGAAGAAGAAGTGTGTCAAGTATCCAGAAATTGTCAGTTTTATTCCAACATCAAAAATTTCATAACCTATGCTGAGATGGAACATGAAACTATTTCCTCAAAATCTGAGAAGTGCTAACACTCTCTCTTGTTGTTGACATGCTCTTCTTTACACAAAAGCATTTAGAGAAACTTTTTAAATGGTTTAATTTTTTGGATCCCCCATCCTTCCCTAAGCAGACAAATGACATGAAAATGCAGGCAGACATCCGCACATACAACGAAAGTCTATCAAATAAGCACTCTCAAATATTGTTACAATAATGGAATTTTTTATGACTGTCAGTTTGGGTTGTTCATCATGTGGATGTTTGAAATAACTTCTTAACAAACCTTTCTTGTTGTGGTATCTTTTGTAGTGGTATATGCCCTTTGTTTTTTGATGTGTTCTTAATACAATGCTATACTATCCCATCATGAAGTTGGGGGCCCTGTTGTCTTAGTTTGTTTAAGTATTTCACAATTATTTCAGTCTTTTCTTAGGAAATGCTATTGATTTGCCAATGACAGTAGCCAAATCCCATTAAGGAAATAAGGGTACATGCCTCTCAATCATCCTTAAATGGAATTGACCTAATGCTAAACTAAGCTTCTAGATAAGAATGCCATTGAAGGAGTTTTCAACCCAGATGGTCAAAGCCATTCAAATATTACATAATCCTCTATCTTCTTCCACCCAATCAGTTTCCAAGCTGTCAAACCTTTTACTTTCTGAGTTATCTGAGTGACAGGATACGCTTGAAGTTTCCCACATTTCAAAACTTGTCTCTAAATGCAATTCCTCCATGCACTATAAGTAATCATACATCTACACTTAATAAATTTCCCCTGCAACTTGCTAAGCACATCAAGACAAGCTATGTTAATACCATCCTACTTAATGCCAATGGCACATCAGAAAAAAAATAAATAAATCTTGGAAGGAAAGACTTTTTCCCCAAGTCAATTGAAAACTTCCTTATTCATTTTAAATATTTCATTGCATTAATTTTTCAAAGCAACAAAACAAACATTCATCAAGTGAAACTAAGCATGACCCCCCTCAGATGGGTACATCTGTTGCTTCCCTGCTGTGTCCCTGAATAATTCATTTTAATACATTTAAAGTATCCTCGTCATTAAAATGAGCTCATTTTACATATGAAATTGACATCCATGGAAAGAAAAAACAAAAGCTGGCCCCCTGGCACCATGTTTGTCCTCATGATTAATATTTAGCCATTTCTGTTGGCCTGTAAAGAATAGTATAGATCCATCCCCACACTCACCAACCACCAATCATTTCATCAAATACGTGGTAAACAGTAGCCAGGATTTTGTGATACCTTTTCTCCCAGCCTTTGTCCCTCCCGAACACCTTCCAGAGATTTGCAGTCACTGCTTGTCTGTTTTAGTCCCTTCTAATAGATGCACCAGGTATACTGAATGGCATCGAGGAATAAAAGCCAATGCAGAGAATACTAATCAGTTTTCAGTTCTTGAAAATCAATCAACTTGAGCTCGTCTGACACTGTGCAGGGGAAAAAAATCTTCAGTTTTTATTCACTCCCTGCCCTTTTGAACTCTGTTAACTGGTGATCTAAATGGTTTTCTGGGAAGGCCTTAATATTCCTCAACATTATAGCATTCCTCCCACCCTCCCTTCCTCCCACCCCCATGGTTATATCTTAAGCATAGAAATGTTGGAAAGGGAAAGGAAAGCAATGAAATGGAAGAGAAGAAAAGAAACAGATTTTAGTGGTTATAACATGTTTTTAAGCATTTTCTTTAAAGAACATTGCTTTTCCTAAAAGTGTGGCAAGTACGATTTTAATGACATGGAATCCAAATAATAAAATAACTTATAAGATGCTTTCTACTCAAGAATTTGTCACAATATTGAAAATTGCAAATCATCAGACCTCAGGGATTATATACAAGAATTATACTCCTACAACTATTTTCATACCAATAATGAACCACAGCAATGTAATTTTAAAATTATGTGGTATTATTTTCTAAGGAGCCAAGACAGCATGTGTATACTCAGTACTGCCCATTTTTAGTAGAAGTAAAATGTAAAAACAAAATGAAAACTTTTGTGTTTTCATGGTGATTGGTTGATAGTTTACTTTGTCGAAATTGGTCTTTGAGAATATACATATTTTTTTACTTTTTTATATAACAATATCTTGATTTGTTTCAGGGTTTGCCAAAATTTCCCAGTTCACTGGATCCCATTGTCAGGAGAAAAATGATATGAAATTACTTACCTATGGTCTCCCTGCTTGCCTCCTCACCTGCTCCTTCTTCTCGGGAACAGGGGTGTAGTATGCCCCAGAACCCCGCACACACACCTGTTACCAAAGTAAAGGAATCCATAAGTCATAATAGTCCTGCTGTTGAAAGATAGCAGAAGCTAACAGTATGATAATGAGGGATAGTTTAAGAAAATTTTACATTTTTTTAAGTTGAATCAAAGGCCAAAGATTTAATGTTCCTTATTCTAAAACAGCAATGCAGACCAGGCTTGGTGCCACACTCTTGTAATCAATCCCAGCTATTCTGGAGGCTATTCTGGAGGCTGAAGAAGTTCAAGATCACAAGCTCAAGGCCAGCCTCTGAAATGTAGCAAGACCCTGCTTCAAAATAAAAATCGGAAAGGGATGGACATATAGTTCAGAGGTAGCGAGCTTGCCTAGTACAATGCAAGGCCCTATGGTTCCATTTCTAGGACTGAAATAATATTTTTATTTCAATTAAAAAAAAATACTGCAGTGGATGTCCGTGCCCCAGGTCACTTGGAGACTCCACTGTGACTCAGTTATGTTACATGGATCACACTTGAAGAGCCATTGTCCTTTTATTTCAGCTTCTTGGATTGTTAAGAAAGATACCAGCTAAACAAGTACAAATATTTTATTTGTTCTTTCTCCCTCATTTACATGAAATGTTTTTCTCTACCGTAAAAGAAAATATTTTCTATGGCAAATTTCTTCTCACCATCTTGTTTTGGTGGCACTAGTAAAGTATGGCCTTCTAGGAATTTTTGCTCTTTTTCTCTTCTTTGTAAAGCGTGATTGAAAAGATCCTAGGCCTTGATGGCTGGCTTGGGTGAAAATTCTACTTCTCTTTAGCATCTCCCTGTCTTAAGATCCTCATTCACACATAACTCCCTTTTTGGTTATTATAAAAATTACAGAATATTCTAAATAATGTTTATTCTAAACTCCCAAACTCTCATTTGATTTTAAATGAGATAATCTGTACTTTGGAAAATATAGAGTACCATAGGGATCTCATATATTTAGTATCAGGGCTGTTTAGGTTTGGATGGTTTGATTGCTTTTTCCTAGTATTTTTCCATCTATCATAGTTTTTCTGTACTATTAAAATTGGGGGTGGGAGGAACTGAGGCGTAAACTGGGAACCATTAGGAAACATTTAATTACCAACACATGAGCCTACCTTTGGGCCATTGCATTTGTAGCAGAAATGAACTTTAACCCAAGGGTATGGATAAATATCCTAGTCCTCATGATAGAAAAATTGTGCCTGATTCTTTGATTATTTTGAGAGTGGGATTTAAACAGTTTTGGATTACTATAATCTCTTTTTCTAAGTATAACCCACTGCCATTGTCCAACGTACATTATTATCACATGCCAATGCAGTGAGGCATTAAATTATTGTATCTTCTATCTGACTTTTATTTGCTCATATTTTATTTGTAACACACTACTTATTTTGCTTTTAATACAATTCATTGCATATCAGTTGCTACTTGGAAGTCTGTATGCCGAAGGTTACATTCTCACAGAGGAGCTAGGTAGTAGATTGGTGGCTTACCTGGCAGTTAGGAAAGGAAGATATAAAGGAAACAATGAGTGCTAGCATTCACTGTGGTTTCACTATTTACTAAGTGGGACTGTGTGTGCTAGTACCTTTTTTCTTTATTTCAGTGCCCTTTCCACCTTAGCCAGTATTATGAATGGTGGAAATGGAAAATTCATATGCTCTTTTTTAAAAAATTTATTTTGATTTGTTCTTTTAAAGTATACATCACAGTAAAGTGTATTTTGGTATATTATACATACATGGATAATAACTTATTCTAATTAGAATCCTATTATTGTGGTTGTACATGGTGCAGAGTTACCCTGGTCGTGGGTTCACATACAAGGATAAGCAAGTTATGTTCGATTCATTCTACTGTCTTTCCTATTTCCTTCTCTATTCCCTTCCCTTTATTCCTCTTTGTCTAATCTAATAGACTTCTATTCTTTCCTTGTTGTGGGTTAGCATACATATATCAGAAAGAACATTAGACCTTTTGGTCTTGATTGAGGTGAAGGGGTTTCAAGAAATGGGACAAGGAGGTGGATTTTCTGGAAATCTTACCCAGGGTTTCCTCTGAAAATCCTGGTATTGGAGCTCTATGATGTGACACCATTTGAGCCTCGTGGCTCTTTAAATAAAATAAAAAATAAAATAAAATTTTTTTTAAAAAATCAACGTTCTTGTTGATGAAAAACCTGAGGCTCAGAAAGATTAAGTGACATAACCAAGATCCTGTTTACGTTGAATAGTTATAGCTAAGAGCCTTCACTTCTTTCCTTTCCTTTTCAATAGTTATGTGGAATCAGAAAAACTCACATCTTAGTTGGACTCTATCACTTTCTATCTTATGGATATGAGCAAATTAGTATTATTATTTGTATAATTCATGGCAATAGCCGGCTGCTATGCCTCCATTTCCTTTGTCTTACGTTTGAAATTAAATGGTGATTATGAAGATGCTCCATGAAAAATTCAAAGTGCTAAATAAATATAAAACATCATCATTATTGGCAACATAAAATACTTGGTCTCTACCATAGTATCACAAGAATGATTTCTGTTGAGAGGATGTTTATAAAGGAGTGTTGATAAAACTCCAGTTCATTAGCGCATGTAGGAACTAAATGTAGTTTTCATAGTGAATGCCTATAGAGTTTCATAGACTAGGAACAGAAAATATATTTTTATCAACACATTGACATAGTTATATGTGTGTTTGTGATTATAGACAAGGAACTAATTTTTAAACCATTTGAGAGTAAATTATAGATATGTATATAGATAAATAGGGGCTGGGAGTGTGGCTCATTGGTGGATCTGTACTTGGCATGGTGTAGGCCCTTGGTTCAATCCTCCGTACCAAAAAAAAAAAAAAAAAAAGAGAGAGACACAGACAATTACTGTTATTATTATCAAATGAGTAATTATTAAGTCAAATCACATTTAATCTGGCAATATTTAATGCATATAGAGTAGATGGTAAGCTATTTTATCCTTAAATATGTATTTTTCTTTTAAGCTACATCTGATTTTTTTTAAAGAGAGAGAGAGAGAGAGAAAGAAAGAGAGAGAGAGAATTTTTTTTAATATTTATTTTTTAGTTTTCGGCGGACACAACATCTTTGTATGTGGTGCTGAGGATCGAACCTGGGCCCCACGCATGCCAGGTGAGCGTGCTACCACTTGAGCCACATCTCCAGCCTCAAACATCTAATTTTTTAACATATAAAAGCATACAGAAATTATTAGGGAAAAGTTTAGCTAAGTTCATCATTACAGATAGAAAATTTGGGTCAAGTTATGACATTTGCCCTGGATTACCAGGTTGTATGAAATCATTTTGTTGTACATTTGATAAAACTTGGCATATTCACCATTGCTCTCAAATAAAAGTAAGAGAATTCTTTATGTGGTGTAGGGGTAATCGGGTTTGAGATAAAACTAGTAAAGAAGAAACTGATGACAGATTAGATATATACATAGATGTATGCATGGATACTTTGCATATGTAATGTCTCCCAAAGGACCATGACTCAAAGCCTTGCTCCTCAATCCATTGATGCTGTTAAGAGACAGTAGAACTTGGGAGGAAGTCAGATCATTGGGCATGTGCCCTTGGAGTGGATAATGGAAATCCAGCCCCCCCCCTCTGATATCCAGGTCATGAGGTGAATAGTTTGCTCTGCAGCCTACTTCCTGCATGGCCTCCAAGCAATGCTGTCAACTGACCATGAACTGAAATATCCAAAACTGTGAAATAAAATAGAACTCTCCTCCTTTAAGTCGATTATCTCAAGTGTTTTGTTATAGTACATGGAAATCTGATTAGCATAAAAACAGAATCACAAAATAATGCATAATTGTAGAATATGTGGACTTATATTCTGTTTACTTTAATATTTTTATTACATGCCAAGTAATTGAAAGGCAACCCAAAGCTTTGTAAATGGCACAGGAAAAGCCTATATGTTTTTTAAGTTGGTCACTGCAAAATTATGTGCACTTTGTGCCAATCATTGGGATTCTACTCTGTTATTACTCTTAAGAAACTCTGATTTTTGATAAATAGCCTATACTTCTAACACTCAGAGATTTGGATTTTTAAAAAATGCTGCCATATCTTACTGTTTATTTCTAAAACTCGAGATCAGCCTTTTTTTCCATGTGAAGTCTCCATTTCTTGATTTCTTTCTTGTCAAAAAGCCAGTTTATTTAGTTTAAGTTTGGAATATTTTTTTCTAACATATGAATGAAGATGCCAGATGCTTCAAATGTTCTACTTCATAATATACCTTACGACAGTTTATTATTATAATTCCTAGGCAAGGACTAATGTGTGTGGGATCAGGGTGGAATTGTGCTGGAATTCTGAGGACTGAATCATTGTAATTCTCTTTTCAGAAACTATTCACAGTTATGTTAAATGCTGTTTATCTATTTTCTATCCTATGACTAAGTGTTTGAATTTCATATTTTCAAAATGGACAAGTGTAAATAGATTATTGTTTTCTCAGGGATATCCAGGGTTGGCCACAAATTCTCTCCCTCTACTTAACTGCCTTCTAATATCTTTTTTTTCAGAACTTTTTTAAAAAAGTATATAAAAAGTAAAAATGGATTAAATAGCTTGTTATTTTTCATTCCAAGATAGAACAGATTTAAAAAAAAAACTTATATATACTCAAGGTTTCTCAGAGAACTGATGATAACCCACAGACAGACCCAAAGCCTCAGAAAAGAACCCAGGCAAAGAAATAATACAGATATTGCAAAACTACAGAATTCCTTTGAATCACTTGTTTATTTCCTGTCATTTTGATATTGCCATGTGACTGTGAAAGTCTTTCAAGCCAGTTAACTGACAAAATGCTGCATTCACTGAGTTATTAAATTCTTGATAATTTAAACCAATGAGAGAGAATGTAGATGTAGGTAGTTGTTTTAACAGATAATCTAAAAGTTGTACAGAGAAGTGTCTATTAGAATATTACTATGTTTTCCAGAAGATTTGTGCTGC